ACCCTTCCGCACTCATGCACGCCCGCACATACCCACACACACCCACCCCTTCCGCACTCATGCACGCACGCACATACACAAATACGTAATCAGTATGATACATGTATTTATATGGAATAACGTAGAGAAAAGAAACACTAGAACATCTGACCGATTTCTGTTTACACGTCTCTCCTGTATATTTTGGGCATGGCGACAATCGCAGCCTCTCAATGTACGCTAACACGCACGCACGCACGTACGCACGCATGCACGTACGCACACGCAGACACAGTTGGTAGATACAATATAGCAGTTGTAGTCAGAATCACAACAAGCACCCTGGCTTGGCATCATAAGAAACGGCAGTTTCTCGTGCGAAAAAATACGAAAACACGCAGACACGCACGCGCACGCACGTAGACAGACACACGGTTAGGAATAAGGGGGGGGGGGTGTTGACAAAAACATCGTAAAGTTAATGTTAAGAGTAATTTTGTTTCTAACAACGGGCACCAGGGCTTTGTTGTCAGAAACATTGTAAATAATTTCGTACTATCGCAAGTCTCGATTTTCGTTACTTTTCTACAGCACTTCGCTCACAAAGTCGTAATATTTCAGACTCGGGTGGAGGGGGGTATCTTCACTACTCACGGTGTATCTGACAGCAGGCCCTGGGTGACGGTACGAGGATGTAAGAGCCCACACTGCATCGATGTGTGGGGATGCTAGCCTGCAGCGGCGCGAAGATAGCATTTTAGCTCAGGCCAGTGGCCAGGTCATCACAGCATTTATCCCTGAAGCCCTGAAAGCTCACATTGTAATAGCAGTGGTCGGTTACCCCAGGGGGGCGATTACAGAGAGAGGGGAGAGAGCGAGGAAGGTTGAGAGGCAGAGAGGGTGTGAAAGAAAGATGGGAGGGAGAGCGAGAGAGAGAGAGAGAGAGAGAGAGAACTATAGCATCGCTCCATCAAAACAGGACCCACACACGTACAGGGATTACCAGTACAAAATCTTTGGTAGGCCTCCAATGTCTAAAAAAATATTTGCTATCTATAGGCAGCTACGAAATTATATATAAAATATTCGACATTCTTGGACACACCTCAGCGTCAGACAGAACAATAGACATCAGTGCTTACTGGTTAGAAGACGCGATTTATATAAATAGAGCAGCACACCATTGATTGCCCCGCCGTTGAATTGTCGTAGCGCAAAATACAAAAACGTGAGCGGCTCGATAGAGAAGTATCACCGGTAGACGAGCCGTCGTCGGTGCTAGCGATCAGCGCAGTGTATTCACGTATGTCTGGTCACCCACCTGCCCCCCTCGCCCCGCGCGCCATGCGTCAGTTACCGTACGCCGGCGGCAGGACACGTGACTCCCCCGCGCGCGACCGAAATCGATCTATCAGCTTCGCGGGATCGATGGGCGGCGCTAGCCAATCGTTGCCGTGCGGGCATTCTAAAAGTAGTGCTACAGAGTCGGTCATTTTAGCGTGCGCGTGTGAAAAACACTGCGTACAGCGGCCGAGCTTGCGCGACGCAGCAGTGATGTCCGACGGTGGCTGTGGTAGGTCAATTAGCGTGGTCATCGCTCAGGCACACGCGTGGTGCCTGCGTCGACGAAGAAGGACACACGGTGACAGATGCAAACCATGATTATTACTCGATAATCTACGCACAAAATAGATTCACTCTCTAAGGCCCTTGGATCATTAAAAAACGTAGAATTTCAGGCAAAAAATTCAGTACAAAATACTGGACACCAATTCACGATTTAAAAATAATTAATAAAATTACTCTGCAACTGTAAAACATACGTATATATACGTAACGTATATATATATATTTAGGTAGATAATATATAATATATACTACACGTTACACTCGCACAGGCCATCACACGCGCTTCTTCGTGGCATCGCTGTCACCGCCAGGCGGCGCCCTGGTGACGTTATCGCGGCGTTCGGCTGGCCGCGTCCGCTTCCCGTCGCCCGCGGCAACGACGACGTCGCCATTGGCGATGGGGCCGGTGATGCTGTCATTGCTGTAGAGGTCCTCGATGAAGCTCTGGTTCCTCGGACGCTTCTTGAGGAAATCGTTGATGACGAGGCGACGGAAGAGGACGATGTTGATGAGGAACACCATCATGGTCGCGGTGAGCAGGAACCACCAGTAGCCGCGCGGCACGGCGTCCCAGTACGTGTACAGCCCGTAATCTATCCACACTGTAGGGGAGAGTGAAGGTGGGGGTTAGAAGCTGCCAGCAGTACACGTACAGTCCGTATCCGATCCACACTCTGAGAGCTGTAGACGCAGAGCGAGAGAGCAGGAGAGAGAGAGAGAGAGAGAAAGCAAGCCAGGGAGAAGAGAAAGGCAGGAAGAGAGCGAGGGGATAGAACTAGAAGGTCCGAATACATAGAATACATAGATACATAGTGACGACTCTTGTGCTTATTCTTGTACAATATGATAAAGGCTCCATTAAAGATTGTTAGCTGAAGCGAGAGAGAGAGAGAGAAACAAATAAAGAGAGAGAGAAACAAATAAAGAGAGAGAAAAACAAATAAAGAGAGAGAGAGAGAGAGAGAAAAACAAATAAAAAGAGTGTGTGAGTGAGAGAAAGAGAGGAAGAGAAATAGACAAATAGAGAGAGAGAGTGAAAGAGAGGAAGAGAAATAGACAAATAGAGAGAGAGAGTGAAAGAGAGGAAGAGAAATAGAGAGAGAGAGATGAGAGAGTAGAGAGAAAAAGAAACAGAGCGTAATAGAGAGAGGTAGAGAAGAGGGAGAGTCAGCGAATACTCACCCAGCGTTCCGAAGCGGAGATGGCGAACGTGACGAGGTTAAGCAGAGCGTTGAGCCGGTACTGCCACGAGTGCGGTCCGTACGCCTGCGTCATGTGCATGATCTTACGGATGTGCAGGAAGACACTGTTCACCTCGAGCGAGAGCACCATCGCGTGATAGCCGATGTAGCCGGCGCACATGACGTTGTACAGCATGCCGATACACACCTGCGCAAATCCAACACACACAGAGAAGCAGTCGTTAGCTATAATTGTGGGGTTAAACTGTACGCGCACGTGTAATCAACGTTTTACCTGCAGGCACAAGTGTAATCAACGTTTTACCTGCAGGCACAAGTGTAATCAAGTTATCAACCTGCAGGCACAAGTGCAATCAACATTAAAGTAGCCTGCGGGGGGGAGCACGAAGTGTAATCACCGTTAAGTACCGGGTGGCAAGGCACAGATGTAATCACGTTAAGTAGCCTACATGGCAGCAAGTTGTAATCAAGTTTTACTGCAGGCACAGCGGGCCCGAAGTGAAATCAACATTAAGTACCTGCAGGCACAAGTGTAATCAACATTAAGTACCTGCAGGCACAAGTGTAATCAACGTTAAGTACCTGCAGGCACAAGTGTAATCAACGTTTTACCTGCAGGCACAAGTGCAATCAAACATTAAGTACCTGCAGGCACAAGTGTAATCAACATTAAGTACCTGCAGGCAGATCTGCAATCAACATAAAATAACTGAGAGCAACTGTGTTCAGCATGAGATACCTGTAAACACACCTGTAATCAAGATACATATAAGTGCACCCGTAAGAAACCAGACGGCACACATCAAACGGACGCCCTGGAAATGAGCGCGCCCCGAATCCGATAAAGATAGGGTGCCGAGTGTTGCGTCTCTAATTACAAGCTCAACCAACGAAATGGCCTCGCTCTTTGCAGTAACTACGGCAACGCTGGGCATCTCAACATCGAAAACCTGATTACAGTGTGATTACGTGCACAGGAAATCTTGTTGTTGTACCTGCAAATTATATTAATGTTATTGTATAACACCTTATATCGTGTATACAGATGGATGCACGTTGTACGCAATTATCTATCTATCTAGCTACCTACCTATCTATCTAGCTACCTAGCTACCTACCTACCTACCTATCTATCTATTAATCGATGTATTGATTCACCAATCAACCAAGCAACCGACCGCCCCTCCAGAACGAGAGAAGAGGAGAGACAGAAAGGCGAGAGAGAGAGAGACGAGAGAGAGAGAGAGAGAAGAGAGAGAGAGAGCGAGAGAGAGAGAGGAGAGAGAGAGACACCAGAGAGAGGCAGACAGAAGCGATGAGAGAGAGAGAGAGACACACACAGAGAGAGAAGACAGAAAGCGAGAAGAGACGAGAGAAGAGAGAGAGAGAGAGAGAGAGAGACCCAGAAAAGCGAGAAGAAGAAGAGAGAGAGAGAGAGAGAGTAGAGAGAGGACGAGGAGAGAGAGAGAGAGAGAGAGAGAGACCAGCAGAGAGAGAGAGAGAGAGGAGAGGCGAGTGAGAGACACACAGAGAGAGAGACAGAAAGCGAGAGAGAGAGAGAGAGTGAGAGATGAGAGCAGAGAGAGAGCGAGAGAGAGCGAGAGAGAGAGAGAGAGAGAGAGAGAAGAGAGAGCAGACAGCGAGATGAGAGAGAGAGGCAGAGAGAGACGAGAGAGACAGAAAGCGAGAGAGAGAGCGAGAGAGACAGCAAGCGAGAGAGAGAGAGAGAGGAGAGAGAGAGAGGAGAGAGAGAGAGAGAAAGAGAGACAGAAAAGCGTAGAGAGAAGAGAGTGGCGCGAAATGAGGAGGAGAGAGGGAACGAGGAAGGAATCAGAGAGAGGGAAGAGATTCCTTGTTCCCGTTTCCTAGCTAGCTTGCTACTGCTGCTGACTGGACTGCTTACTCGCTACTTGCTAGCACTGCTAACTACTGCTGCTGCTGCTGCTGCTACTACTGCTCCCAACTGCTGGCTGCTGCTGCGGCTGCTGAGCTTGTGCTCGTCTACTTCTACTGTGCTTGGTCTGCTGCCTGAGCTGCTAAGCTACTGCAGCTACTGCTCGCTGTGCTGCGTGCTCTACTACTACTGAACTGCTAGTTAACTGACTCTACCTACTGCTCNACGCACGCACACATGCGCGCACACGCACGCACGCACGCACGCACACACACACATACACATACACATGCTGCCCGTTATATTTATATCATCTCTCAATAGTCGCGCTGCCCTCCTTTTCTCTGCTGCTGCTGTTGCTGCTGCTGCTGTTCGAGATTATTTCCAGATGAAGCCAATCATGGTTTCCTCTTCCTATGCAGAGGGCATCTCGCAGTAATGTTTGCTACGTACTGGCAGACAGGCACGCACGCACAGGCATGCACGCACAGACACGCACGTGCACACGCTCACACACGTACTCTCTCTAGGATATAAATTAGTACTCTCTCTAGGATATAAATTAGTACTCTCTCTAGGATATAAATTAGTACTCTCTCTAGGATATAAATTAGTACTCTCTCTAGGATATAAATTAGTACTCTCTCTAGGATATAAATCAGTACTCTCTCTAGGATATAAATTAGTACTCTCTCTAGGATATAAATTAGTACTCTCTCTAGGATATAAATCAGTACTCTCTCTCGCCCTCTCACTCTTTCTGTCGCTCCCTCTCTCTCTCTCTCTCTCTCTCTCTCTCTCTCGCTTACTCCCCCCTATCTCTACATATCACGATTTTTTGTTTTCCTCTCCCTTTCTCTCCCTCACTCTATATCTCTCGTTCCTATTTTCAGGGGAGAAGTGGGAGGGGGGTGTATAAAGCAATATAAACATAAGAGAACTATAGTATAGAACAGATGTGGGAAAGAAACAGAGTAAGGGGTTAGAAAATGTAATATATAAGGAAAACACTTACGGGAATGTGATGAATGCACACCTCCCAGTGCGTGATAAAGCCAATGCCGAATATAATATCGATGAAGTCGTAAAAGAAATACGCTGAAAAATAACCAAACAAAAAATCAATTTGATATCGTTAAATAATTATAACAGCGCTGCATCGAGCGGGTGGGTAACAGAATGTAGACATGCAGACTTGCTTTTCCAAATTCTTTATGTGGCTTAAAGAGACGTTTTTTTTACCGATATGTCACAAGCAATGTGTAATTATTTATTATTATCTAAAATAATCGATGTTATAATCGATGCTAAAGTGTGATTATGCTCGTTATTATGTCGTAATCGATGCTAAATCAATGTAACAGTGCACGTACGCACGCACGCACGTACGCACGCACGCACATGTCGGCACCGACTAGATTTTCCGGCGTCGCCGCGCCACGGGCGCCCCCTGCTGGCCGTCGCCGTGTCACGTCATGTCAGGCGATCGCTGTGAGGTGACGTCATTATCAGGAGTGCTGCTGCGACTCCCGCGAGGCATGATGATGATGTGCACACACACGCACGCACGCACGCACGCACGCACGCACGCACGCACGCACGCACGCACACACACACACACACACGCACACACACACACACACACACTCCCACGACAGCGTCACAAGCAACACACCGGCACAGGCGACACAGCACACACACACCACACACAACACACACACACACACACACACACACACACACACACGACCGCAGCGACGGACAATGCTTATCGCGCTACTTATTACGACCATTTATATTCATCATTAGAACCATAGATTACGGAACGGTATGATATATGATCATGTATGTACATGTATATTATACGTGTAGGGAGTTACGTAAATATGGAGTTATTTATGTGTACTCCGGCGACCTGCCGATGCCCGCTCGTGCCTCAGCACGAAGCACGACGCACCGCGCCGGCACACGACACGGCACGCCCCAACACACAGCTGGGCACGCGACTACACATACATACATACACACAAACACACACGACACGACAACACCACGACACATCACCCACACACACATACACACACCAGGGGCGTAATCCGTAACGCGGAGGATGGGGGGCGGGGGGAATGATCGGCGATAGCCATCACATACAGGCACGGAGCACAGAGCACCTACAATAATTTAACCCACCAACGCGCAGCGACCTCGCGGCAACCCGCCTTGGGCCGCTGGTACGCCGGGCGGCGCACGAAATACACACCACACACACACAGGCCGCGCACACACACACAGCAGCACTAGCACTCACACACGACACACACACACAGCGGGGTCGCAGCACAGGCACGCACGCACGCCGACGGCCGCAAGCGCACCACGCACGCACACACACATGCACACACCATACACACAGTCCAGCACATAGACGAAAAAAACAACAAACACACACAACACGACGAAACCACACCGTACATGAATTTATACATGCATACGAATAGCATGCACGCACTCATGCAAATTTGGTCAACCGGTACGTTTGGGGCGACGTGCCGTAAGCATGCCCAAATTTTGAAATAAACTTTTAAGCCATTTTCTCCTGCAATCTGAGGGCATACCTGTGGGGCCATATTCTGCATGATTCATATGACACTATCCTGCAAACCGGCTGAGACTTAACGCCTGACAAGTTAGGAATTCAATACATCCTTTCATAGGAAGCTCTAAAGAGCGTATCAGCTTAGGGTCTTACCTATAGTATATAGGGTAATGAACTGAGGTCAATAATACATGATAAAACAGCAAGGTAAGAATTGCAAGTTTCTCGTCTCACGAAATTTCACGGTGTTTTTGTATGTTTGTTGCCAACGTGAACGACTTTTTGGCTAGTTTGTGAGTGCTGGAAACATTTGTCTGACCAGAGTTCATTTGCATGTCCTGCGCCGCCTCAAAGGCAGTGACATTCGTGTCAAGTTAAGAGTTAGGATTGCCGTGAGAATCTCACTTCTGCGTCAGACAGGACAATCTCTATCTGGCTCCAAAGAAGCATTGATATATTTGGGTGTAGGAGTTCCACACTGCAGACACGCAGATAGCACCTTATGCTTTTTGAGAGACGCATATGCCTCTGCAGTCACCTCCTGTCTCCGTGCCGCCACGATTGAAAGCTCTGTCTTGGCATACCATAGCAGATAGCCAATGATGTAACACTGAATTGCCTACTGTTAGACTATACAGTTGATAACATAAAAATTTTAAAAAATCTCAATTCTCATGCATTATTAGCTTAAAAAGATTTGAAGAACAATATCAATATTTCTTTCTTTTTTCTTCGTCTTCTTCCTCTTCCCGCTCTGTTTTTTTTTAAATTTCAGGGGGATATTTGTACAGGCCATCCCCCCTCCTTCAAGAGCTGGGGGATGCATCCCCCCATCCCCCCGGGATTTACGCCCCTGACACACACACACACGCACGCACGCACGCACGCACGCACGCACGCACGCACGCACACACACACACACACACACACATATATATATAATAGCCTCGCCTGTGATGCTAAACTACAAGCACAGTTGTTGTTGTGTAACATCTTTGTGAAGTCTGGCGTGCACTCTGTACCTATGTGTCTGTGAGATTGTGCACAGCGGCGTGCTTGCGTGCGTGCGTGCGTGCGTGCGTGCGATGTGATTGCGTGTTGCAGCGGAAGCATTTCAGCAGCATTTTCGTGGAGTTATTAGGCGATGAAGGGAAGATGAAGATAAAGATTTTGCTATTAAATACAATTTGTACGTTTATTTTACCGTTATTATTGAAACGGCCCAAGTTCCTGTGCTCGCGCACTTCCTTCCACCACACCCACATCTAACAATGATGCTGATAGGGTCTATGTCCCCAGGGTACTATCGGAGGGTACCCTGAGTACGGTTCGATATATCGGAAAGTACCTCGGGGTACTATACGATATGTCGCTGCGTACCCTGCATTGTCCCACCGTACCCTGACTTTATGCTCCCGTTCCTTGTTTCCGGTCCGTTCCCGCAAAATATTCGTTTCAGTATTCGCATTTCTTCTGGAAATTGTATGTATCACCGTGTAATTATGCAACATGCAGGTTGATAGCACTGTTGTGCCCATTGGTGGTGTACATTTGGAAAGATTTCTCTCAGATAATAAATATTTAAATGATATGAAAATGAATATGTAAATGAAAATATGAATATATGAAACAGGAAAAAGAAAAATATAGTCAAACATAGCATACATTTTTATTGGATTGCGATGTTTTGCGGTTTCTTCTAGCCTAATGTTAAACTCAAAACATCATATTAGACTAATTTTTCCTGGCCCAGAATCGTTTCTCGTGGAATTTATGCCCTGTATCTTCTTTGCTTCTCCACAATGATATAATTAGTGCTAGATGTGATTCAATCACAGCTAGCACTAATTATTATAATAATACAATAACATGCACCCACCCGTGTATTTTCCTCGTCCCAATTCGCACCCTCACAGGTAAAGCTAACTAGTGCAATAACACTCGCCCTTGCGTCTGTACCTTCCCCGCTCCGCCACCCTCACACACACAGACTTGGCCACCCTTGTATCTTCCCACAACCTCACGGCGCTAGTATAGCTTCGACCATATGGCTTCGACCAACTTAACACCACTTCACCCTTGTACCTCCGCCATCAACATGCGCATACCCGGGTTCCTTCTACGGTTGTCAACGCCAGCGCCGACTGCGCGTGTACCTGCGGGTTCACCTTTGTACCCGATACCCTCACAACAGCAGCAGCAGCAGCAGCAGCAGCAGCAGCAGGAGCAGCAAGCTCGTGTGACGTCAACCCACGAACGTTGCCTATGTGTTGGTGGCAGCCTGGCAGGAGAAGATTAGCGAACTAACCTGTTACCAGCTAGACGGTTAACTATAGGAATTAAGCAACAACCTCCTATCGTTACTAACCTTCTCCCATTAACCACCTTCTCCCACTAACAACCTCCTATCGTTACTAACCTTCTCCCACTAACAACCTCCTATCGTTACTAACCTTCTCCCATTAACCACCTTCTCCCACTAACAACCTCCTATCGTTACTGACCTTGTAGGCCGTTGGCTCAGCAGATAGCTCAGCGTGTGCGGCGGGCTTAAATATATGTGACTCTATTCAACATGAATAAAATGTATGTTGTGTACCCGCCGAGAATATCTGAGTATTTTTAATTAATTTCCGTCTGATCTTTATTTAGGCGTGCAGCCTATGAACGCCCTCTACTGTTGCACAACACCTAAGTAGTTGAGTGAGGCTAAAGGAGTGAACAGGTGGTGTGTGATGGCGTAGAGAACATGTGAGCGCGTGGTGTGAGATAGCGAGGAATGTCTGAACATGCTGGTGTACTACCAATAACATGATATCGCTCTCAAAGGCGGTGAAAGATTATTGCGAGAGGAAAGCTTTATGACAGGTATGACGTAACCGTTGCCAAGGAACACACGCACGCACGCACGCACGCACGCGCGCGCACACACACGCATACACACGCGAACGCACGCGCACATATGTAGATATAGATGTAGAAATAATTAGAAGGTGTCTTTAGTTTTGAACAACATTTCATGCAGACGTTTATATGCTATACACTTCTCTATTAAGTAGCTCACAACGTGTTACCACTATAGAATCTCTGTTTCGTAATATGGAAAAAACAACGCTGTTGTCGACCTGAAAATCTCTCTCTCTCTCTCTCTCTCTCTCTCTCTCTCTCTCTCTCTCTCTCGCTCTCTATATTATATATATATATTATATATTATATATATATATATATATATATATTTCTAAGATTATACTGATGTTCAGTGTACGTTTACGGGCAAACCTGCAAAAATTAATTATTGCACGCGTGGAGATGAGTAGCTCTAGGTCTTCGCGCATGGTACAAGTGCAGCAGCAGGCCAGGCAGGGGTGGTTTAGATGCAGAGTGGCGTGCAGCAGGGCAGGCAGACGTGGTTAGATGCAGAGCGGCGGGTGCAGCAGGGCAGGCAGGGGTGGTGGTTAGATGCAGAGCGGCGGTGCAGCAGGGCAGGCAGGGTGGTTAGATGCAGAGCGGCGGTGCAGCAGGGCAGGCAGGGGTGGTAGATGCAGAGCGGCGGTTAACACACAAGGATTATAGCCACAACTATAACCCGCGCACCTCCTGCCCCCCCCCCCCCCCGCCGCACTCCTCTCTCTCTCTCTTCTCTCTCTCTGCTCGCTCTTCTTTCCCATAGTCTCGTTCCTTTCATCACCCCCTTCTCTCTCTTCA